AAAAGACTAGGAGGAGAAATAAGTAAGAAACAACGAGTCGCAGTGTCCCTTTGTGATCATGAGACAATTCTATGCAGAAACCTTTTAAAGTGATTGAGTTGAAACCGAATCTTTGAAGAGGAACTTAAATAGGCCCAAAAAAGCTCGAATATAAAAGGTGCTTGCTTTATTGTAATATTTAACTACACGGACCCTTCAGCCTCCTGTGTTGTACCCTTACGCGGTGGCATGACTCTCTGATCATGCATGCAGCCTACCAACCCTTCTCCACGCTAATAATGAACCTTCCTTCTTTATGAGTATGACCTGATACAACTTCAAAGAGGAATCAAGGCGCTAAAATATAAAGAAATTACACGCAACGTATTGGTTCCAGGGCTAGCAAAAACCAGTAAGGAAGTGCAATAAACGATTAATTGTACTTTTATGTCCACGTGTGAAGATAGAAATACATTATCCCGAATAAGGTTGCTATTGGTTCATAAGCATACCAGCTAGGCAAAAGGCTTCAGCTGCTGGCCTTCACGGCAAGAAGCGCCAACGTTTGCAGATATATAAGATTGCGACCTATATTACAGTCTAACACCATTAGTAAGTTTTTTTCTGTGCTTTACATAACATAGTCAGTGCTAGTTGCCTAAGAACTAAATACTTCAATGATGATAAGTATAAGATACCAGCCATAATCTTCTAAAGATGAAATATCATGTGTCAAGTGTCCCATTTCTCCTCACCAGTCAGCAGGCAATCTGAGGGATATGATGTCTTTTTACAGGACGAAGGAAATGAGGACTTTAATTGATAGTTTACGAGGCTTACTATTATCTGCTAATGCACGTTGAGAGAGCCTGTGTGATCAGCTTCCGCTACTTTGCAGTTGATGTGAGTGTAAACCGATTGTTGCATCACTTACGTTAAACGTCAATAAAAACAGTTCTTGGCGTGTTAACCTCGTATTGAAGCGTCAAAAAAATTGTGTAATTCCTGCTAAGTCAGTCAGTGTAGTTTGCCTTCCCATAATTAATCAAAAGGGATATTAAGCTCGGTTGCTCGCTTTTGTCACTTTGAAGGCAAATGAATAATATTTCAATTTCCGAGTTGGATAAGCATTCCTGAGCTACTTGACATAGAACTGGATGCTTTTAAACTATTCAGTTAAAATGAACCTTGCAAGTAGCTCCTTACTTAAACCGTCATGCAAGTTAAATTTTGTTCAATATGTTCAACACGCATAGCAATAATTTTACCACTCCCTGTACTTTTAAAAATAATTTGCCACTGCCAATGTAATAAAACCCTGATTGTCAAAATAGTAGACCACCTCTCCCTTGCCTAAGTGCAAGCTGTCAGAAGAGAAACCTACGGAGCTGGGACTTCAAAGAAGATCTGCACGTAGGCGAGCATCTGACCGCGCACATTCAATTGGCCCTCCCAGAGGAGCGTCCGCTCTTCTCCCATAACCCGACCGGGTGGGACTGTCGGGGCAGACGGGCGCATTGCGTTCAGTGGAGAGCCCGTGTTTTGGTAGCTTGAAAAATAAATACGAAATACCTCACTTATTAGACCTTGTCATGACTTCTAAATTTTCTAGCGATTCTGCCAATACGTTAATGGTGTAGGCTTTGCCCATGCCATTCAACCGGTAAACATTCAAATCTATTAAGGAGTGACTTTGGCATTGGGGAATCAACAAGATTGATTTTGCTGACTGAATAATGCTCCAAAACACAAGAGAGATTGAATTTATCGTAAAAAGTTAAATCTGCAAAAGGACCATCAAAACCGTGAAGACTTCCTTCATGATGACCAGCAATACAGCGGAACCGATCCTCAACTAATTAAAACCACTGCTCACAGTACTAAATTATGAACGACCCATCTCTCTTCTTGTTGTAAAGAATTAAAAATCAGATAGCTGGGTGACAATGGAACGGTAATACAGTAAAAAGCAGCCACTTCGTCGTCAGTTTTATTAAATATTTTTACTTTTAAGTAACTAAAAAACGCTCTTTACAAAACATCGTCCAGTCATCAGTAATGGGAGGCGAGTAAAAATTTTCTCATGAAAATGGAAAATCGTGAAAACCTCTTTTCCATTTGGCGGATGGACTTTATCTATCATGTCTCGTATTGTGATCATTTGAAAAGAACTTATTCGTATTATTCACTCATCGTGAAGCAGTAATTTTAATTCTGAATAAAACAATAACCTTCTTTTACAGTTGGTATGGCTAAACGAATTCTTGATTTTACCTTTTACCTCTTTAGGATTTCTACCCATGAGTTCCACTGAACACAACCTTGTAGGATTCGTAATTGGATTAAATGCTATAAAGCAGATTATTAGTGGTTTTTAGAAGTTTAGGTAGTACGTAAGCTTCTCCTTCACTTTAATAACCTGGGATGATATCTTTGAACATTCGGAGCATTCTTTAGCGAGATCTCTTCCATACTCATAGAAATACCTGTTAAAAATACCCCAAATTCCTCCCTTAGCAGTATTTTCTCACATTTGAATAAGGGTAAAATGATTCATCGAGTGAAAAAAAACAAAGGTACTTCTGACCCGCCCGGATAACGAACCCCGGTGCGAAAACCCAAAATCGTGGAGGGCACGGTTATTACTGAGCAATTCCCATCTCTCAATACTGAGGTCCCAAATTATTGCCTTCTTTATAAAGCCTTTAATTTCTTGAATAAAACTAATGAAACCATTCCATGACCGCACATTGATAGATAAAAAGAAAATTTAGCGATTCAACGGAGAACACATCAATGTTTGAATAACCGAGCTTTCCAACCCTTAATCAAAGTACTTCTACACCAAGAAGTAGAATTAAGAACTCAATCACACATCCAACAAATGCTAACTTACCGACTCATTTCTGGTATGGGATACGCCAGTGTGGACGGAGGATGATACTGCCCACTCACCACCGTCGACACAGGTACAGGATTGGTTGCCATTGGTGACTGCTGTGGTGCCTGATAGGGTGAGGGATGCTGGCGTTGGTGATACTGCACGTTAGTTGGTTCTGCGGAGTGTGGAGTGCCGGGAATCGCGTAGGTCGACAGAACGGGTTGCTGTTGCTGCGATGTCGGCCGCTGTTTCGCCTTCTGCTGATGGTGATGATCTGAGTTTAGAGGCTCGGAAGAGTTCTGTAACCCGATGGCAGACTGTGAGTCAGTTGTAGCAGAGATGTTGGGATTAATACTCATATTTGCGCTAGAGCACATGGGACTCGGATTGGGTGGATAGCTAACCCGAAGATATGGGTCGGAGGCCATTGCCGGCGAGAGGCCTGATAAGGTGCTCTCACCCTAAAAAGTACAAACAAAGACGCAATTATATCACGACCAAATGATATGTCTAGCCAGCATTGAAATATAGTGAAAATGAAGCAATTCAACCGTAAGCACAGATGAATTGAATTGACATTCAGTAGCAAGCCAGTATACCATAATGAGGCTACTTGAAGGCTCTTAAATAACCGTTAAAACCTTACATCATAAGGCGTTGGAGCCACCGGTGAATAGTACTGCTGTTGTGGTGGTGGTGCCTGCTGTGGTTGCTGCGATGGGATTGGTTGGTGTGAAGCTCGGGGCACCTGGCTTTCAACAGAGAGCGGTGGTGCGAGACCATAGCCTTGAGCGGCCATGGGTGAGACCTGGTACGTGCTGCTCAAGGCATCGGGCACACTGCTGGGTCCGGTAAGTCCACTTCTACTGCCAAGAGACCTCTGCAGACTCTGATGCAGGTGATGGCTCTGTGCAGGCTCAATGGAATTCGGACCTGAGAAGGCGGTGTGCGATTGACCACTTCCAGATACTATTGGATTGCTGCCTGGCGGATAAGGAACCGGCTGAAGCGGAGAAAAAAGATTCTGTTGAATTCTGTCGCCACCTTATTTGATTAAAAGTCTAAAAGACCACTGACAAAAGACACTGTTGCCCCTCATGTATCCACCTTCCTGGATTAGAATAGTGTAAAAATCAACTCCAAAGGAAGTCGAAGGAGTGATTATTGTATACGCTGAATTGAATAGTGCCGATTATGCTAAACGCCAAATCACGGCAGTTAGTTTTACTATGATTTTGAAGGTAGCCAAAAAAACCTAAGCGTACACGGTCTCTTGAATGATAATTTACTTTAAATGGTCATAACAGACCCTCAATAATTTACGCATAGATTTCCATGAATTTATACGTTTCTGCTATACCTCGATTTCAGCACATGTCTTCGGAAATACGAGGAGAACTTACATAACTTTTTTTAAAGCTTTCGGTAATTATTCCACAAGGTGACTCATAAAATCCGCGGTATTACAAAACGCTTTAAAAACCACACCAAAGCATGGATCGTACGCATTCACTGGGCTGAGATCAGTCGGTGGGAAATAACTACAACATCAAATAGCGAATCTGGCACTAAGCTCCCTATTTATTCAGCTGGCAGAGGCTAAAACATCAAAAGGTTATCTCACCATTCTCGTCTGGTGAGGCGAAGGAGCAGAGCAGTCACCAGGACCTCCGACCACATGACGCACCATTGATGGCTGCTGTTGTTGCGGCAGCAACGATGGCACCTGTTGCTGTTGAGGTTGTTGATTTTGAGTTTGCAAGGGATGACAGGGCGAGGGTTCGGCGCTCCCTAAGGCAGAGGTGGGTTGTGGCGGTGTTTGCTGGGGACGTTGCTGTTGCTGTGGTGACGGTGGTGCCGCGGATCGTCGGGAAGCTGTGGGACCACTAGAATGGCGCTGGGCCAGCGAAGCCTGGGATATCTCACCTGAAAGGGGCGACAATAAATGGCCATACTAATTTCTTTAGCGGCTTCTTAGAACGCCTCATTGACTAAAATTCAATCAGCCGATAGGGATGATCAGACTATCGCAATTCTTGAACCTAAGTGCCATTCTTTGAGAAATACTTCTTGCCTGACTTACTGAAGCCATTTTGAAGAATTGGCTGAGTAAAATAACGACGATTACGAAAAGAAATATTCAGGTAGTTTTCTGACTCGAGTTAAAAGTGAAATAAAAGTAGTTTTCTAAAGGTTTGCGGTTTAATGAAATTTCATTTCCAAGTGCAAATGAGCTGAACATGTTAAAATGAATAGGAATGAAGCAATCACTTTTCGTTACTCAACCAGCACCACTCGAAAGCTAAGTGACTAGGCCCAGTGTATTAATGAACACTAAGCATTAAGTATTCGCTATCGTTGATTCAAATGTGTTTCACCTATTTACAAAGCATTCAAGATAGGGAGGTAAAACTCTAATTTAACTCACGCGAGAAGATGACCGTAGGCCACTCGGAGTCCCGCCGAATATCTGGCGGCAGCATATTGCACATTTGCGCCAGGCGTCGCAGATTCTTGTCCTCACAGGGCGAGAAGACACTTACCGCCACACGGAGCTCACGCAGCTGTGCCAAAACACCCTTCCGCATTGTGCTGCTGTCCACTGCCGCTCCCTCCACATCCATTGGTTCGCCAGCAGCAGTAGTCTCTGAACACTCCGCTGTCTCTATCGCAGTGGCAGAACTCTCTACCACCGCCTCACCCGATAGGATAGCCGCCTCGGCCTTAAGGGGTTCAAGAGTGGCGCAGGGCGAACGCAGGAGAAGAATAAGGTGACGGCGTCGTAAACGTAGACCCAGGGCGCGACGACGATGTGTTTCAAGGTTATCAAAAAGACTGAGGGCTACGCGTAACAGTGGCACTATGGGAATACCCTCGTCTCCTCGAGCGACGGGTGGGACTCCGGAGGATTGCAGGGTGTCAAGAGCGGTAAAGATGCTCTTGATGATAGCGGTGTCGCTGACCAGTGTGGTAGGAGGCTCCGGATTGCGCCAATCGAAGGTGTGGAGTGAGTAGAGGGAAGTGTATGACTAGAAAGACACGCTCTTACATGCTTCCGTGTCATAGCGGCATTTACATCCACTTTAGTCGGAATCAACGAGTGCACAGACTTCAAAAAAGACACAATTTAGATCTATGAACCATTTTCATACTTCACAAAAAACGATTAGAAGTTGTTTAAAACGACTAGTTATGAACTTCTACTGGCTATACAAACTTTTATACCCGGTAATCTACGTGAAACAGACTCACACCAACAGATTTGTAGGTTATTCTTGAGCTTTAAGCAAAAATAATTGCTGGAGGAAAAAATAATTCAAAGCTTTCAAATTAAGGGTCAATGCGGTGCACATAGACAATTGAGGAAGGGAAATATGGTACCTATTTCTGCTATTGTGTCAAGCGCTCCCCCCTAACTTTACTCAATGCTAAAGACCCACAATCGCCCAAAGTACCAACCCTTCTGTATGTCAGTAACAAAGCCCATCCCCAACATGGTTATTTTATTGTCTTCAAGTGTACCCTCGGCGTTATGATGCTACGAACCAAGAAGAATTCAACGAGGATAGAGCAATATGGAAAAAACCTTGAGTTATAACATATTTACAGCGATACTTAGGCAAATAGGAGAATTTTTCCTAAAAATTAATGCATATAAGTGGTAAAATCCAACACCCAATTCTAGAAATATGATTTTGATTATTATTTCCAGAAGCAAACAACATAATCGGGGTTTCTTAATCCGTTAAAACACGGTTTAAGAGATATATAGTACAAATATCATCATACGTGGCCCAAAGAAGTTTTAATAGCCATAAAGTAGTTATAAAAAGCAAATGCCTTACATCTCTTCCAAAATTCATATCCACAGGAGGCCCACCATTTAAATCACTGAAATTAAAAAACGGAGCCTTTTAATTGAATACTACGTCCCAATACAGCAGAATATGATACTCAATTATATTCCAAGGCATTTAAACCCAGTTTTAAGTATGAAAAGGCTCCACAAAATAAAGTCCTTTTAAAGAGAGCTTGTATTTTAAGGCAATAATGTGCAATATAAGATAGTGAAAAGCAAAAACTAACAACAGATAAGGGAGCACCAATAGGTGTTAGCTATGACCCACCTGAGGATTTTGGACAAAAATTCTGTTTTAAAGTACTTCATGAAACGAGTGTTCCTGGAGAAAGGAGCACAACGCTCCACGAGAATCACACAATCTACTGGCTGTAGTGTGTCCGCGTAGCTTCGCATCATTTGCAGCGTCGACAAGATATGCCTTCGTTTGCGCACAATCTGGACAACGGGTTTCGATTTCGACTTCGGTGGTGATAGAGGAAGGTGAGTAGCAGTATCAGCAACCTCATCTGTTACCACTTTTGAGTTTTCTACTGTTGCTACTGAAACATCGATATCAGCTGCAGCAGTGGTCGTCATAGATGGTGGAGAAGGAAGAGAAGGCTGAGGAATTGATTTGGTAGTATCAAGCTCTTTAGAGGCGCTCACACTTTCATCCAAATTTAGCTCCTTTTGATCCGTCTCTACTTCCTCTCTTTTCTCCTCATCTTCAACCTCCTCCTCTACCCCTTTCTCTCCCATCTTCTGTTGTTGCTGCGACTGACATTCCATTGGTTCCACAACTGGTGGACCAATGGGTTCTATCGAGGCTAACAGCTGCGTCATAGCGCTATCATCCATTGGAATGGGAGAGGTTTCATTCATATTGGTTTCACTTTCCATGGGGGTCTGCACAGCCATAGTTTCGGCAGGTTCCGCGCGAGGAAATGCTTGTCCTTCAGGGATTGGCGATTCGACAACCACATTGGAAGAGTACGTAAAAGTAGGAGGCAGGAGAGTAGAGGGACTTGAAGTGGGTCTTGGTGGGAGTTTAGTTGGGACGAAGACAGCCTGTGCAGGAACACTGGCGACAGAGGCTGCGCTGGAAGCATAGGCATCCAGAGACAATGATGGAGCTTTCGCTTGTGGTTCCATAACTTTTCTCTCGTTTTTTAAGGAAGCATATTCGATGATTTCACCGGGGAAATCTGGAGCGGGAAGGAAGCATGGCTTGAGAGTAGTGATAACTAGATAAATATCCGAGACCAAAATACGTATCAGTTGTGCACACAGACTCAGTTAAGGTTACGAATTTGGAAGAATCATAGTAGAATTCAAAAAAAAGACTTTGATCTAAAGCATACAAGTGAGATGTAAGCTACCCTCGAAATTCGTTACTGTGCAGCAATAAGAGTCAGAAAAGGGTGGAGCACTGTATTTGAAAATTCAACTCACTCGATGAAATTTTTTGGTAAAAGCGTAAGGAATGTAGCGACTAACGACTGGCCAATTGATGATCTACCCTCGAATCAAAAAAGACATGATGGGGGCGAATTGCGAGTAGGAGAAGGTATAGCGCAAGAGCTATTGATCCATAGCTCATTTGCGATGTCTTTGTCGAAAGATATTAACTTCCTACCTAAGTACGGCCACGCACATCAAACATGCTAAAAACGCTTATTCAATTACTACAGGGCGATTAACATTGTGCAGTGGGAAACCTTCACCGCCTTTTACTAAAACATCACTTCTTTATAGCAGACAGCTTCGAACTCATGGTGACCAAGTGCATTTTTTTCAACGAACTTATCATATAATTCCAATATTACAGTCATACACAATCAGGAATGTTACAACCCATGTATAAACAAATAACATATACAAAGGCTTCTTATAGCAAATGTGTAATTCATTACTTATGAAAAGGTCTTAATGACGGTAAGTTGACCTGGACATAACTAAAGAAGAGTTTGTATCCATCCACAGAAACGCCTATAAGGAAAAAACAGTTTGCGTAAAATGACACTGGTTTGCTAACTTGCTCATGTTACTTTTAGGGCCTCTCAGTATTATGCGCAAAACATGTGATAAAGAAGATAAATGATGAGATGGAAGACCAGAAAATGGACTTTCTCATAATAGGTCCCGATCCGGAAGGATGCATAGGACCCGAACCTGAGAGTGGCATTTAGTGCCCACAGATTGAAAGAAAGTCAGGAGGTTTTGCACTAACGATGATATAATCCAACAAATACATTAACAGAAAAGTCACAACAAATTCAAATAATCATCAAGGAGAATTATCAACGCATGTATTGTGAATACCACTTCAAGTTATATGAGTTGTTGAACCCCTCATGGATCAGTCCAAAAACGAAAAATGTTAAAAGTGTGCATTTGAAAAAATTTAGTGATATATGTAAAAACCACCTTGCCCGTAGAAATCTGTTCCAGTGACAAACACCACATATAGACAAGATCGCCCTTGGTGGGTTGTCCAACCAGTGCAAAATGCCACAAGATTAAAAAACAGAGATAAAATATCAGCTCCAACTATTCCAGCAGTAAAGGCTAGGATAAAAACGTCGGAGATAGTTAAAAACATCTTTAAAAATGGATGAGAGATGATATCAGACATTTGAATAAAATTTGGCAATAAGTTTAGGAAATTGAATTTGAATATCAGAGTTTGGAATACCTAATTAGGCCTTTTTATTAAGGCGTAGTTGCATGATTGGATAGTGGTCAACTAGGTAGCTTGTACAAATTAGATTTGTCATTATTCAATTTTAGGTTAATAATTACTAAGCTTATTTATGTTATGTTGCAAAGGCCTTTTTAGTGTAATACGACAGTGGTTTGTCCCTCGGTATTGGTGAAGCACCACTTTTGTTCCTTGAATTAGCCCTCCTGTACCTCGCTGGATGGGCCGGCCTTTCGAGCCATGCCAATAGCCCAGACACCTTCTCTGCGCTGAATATATATTCTGTATTCTTTCGTCTTCAGGTAGTCTCGGGACGCTACAGTATAATTCCCTAGATAAAGTAGCCCTTTGCCGAAACCGATTATTAAATGAACAACCAACGAATTACCTACTGTAAGTCTTACCTAAAGTAGCAGTTGACCAATGTGATGTGTACAGCAGAGACGCAATGCAGCTGAATGGAATTGCAACCTTTAGAGACTGAGGTGGTAAGGCAGTTAGTCATACAATTACACAAGGTGTCCAGCTACTGCAAAGTGTACTTTGTGGTCTCAACAGCTGACATCATAAGTTCCCTGCATAGTCTTTTGGTAATACTTTTTAGCCTTCCGGTCGTTCGATACGCTGTCTGAAGCATAGTAGCAGCTGGTGCGGTAATATTAAATATTGTGTTTGTAGCGTCCCGAGACTTCCCTAAAGGCAAAGGAATACACAATACCCGGGCAGAATATATATTGGCATGGTCCGACGGCCAGCCCACCCAGCGAGGTACAAGCAGACAAATTTAAAGGTTAAAAAGTGGCGCCTCAGCAATACCAAGGAAAAAAACACCATAGTGTTACAGTGCTACTATCCAGAATCTCAGCTCGGTCAACAGTTCGGCAGTAAGCATATAGAGAAACGCAGTGTGAACTTTGGAGCCCGTAATAGGATAAAATCTTCTAACAAAACATGCACAAATTGTAGGCAGCAAAGCATTAAAAAGGTTATGCTTTGCACATGTGTACTTACAGATTTCCCTGTTACCTTCACTGCTTAATAATAGGTGGAATTTACAAACTTTTGTGACAACCACTTTTACAATTAATAGTCTATTAAAATTTAGAGAATCTTTTGCAAAAAGCCATGTAAAACGGGGTATTTGCTTTATTTTTCGTTAACGAACTTCATATTTGTTTGACCTTACTTTGTTTGTTTTATCTTGATTGTTATTAATGCAATGCCTTTTGAGGGAGCTTGATTAGACCTGTAGCATACGCTCGAGATGAGTGTGTTGCGTCTTCATGCCAAAAATGCCCATTTTATGCATTGAAGGTGGGATTGCATGAATGATGTTTTGTTGATAAGCGTAAAATAATTTTGTGCACTTTCTTAACCACGAGTATTCCCGATTTTTTCACTCTAGTAGGTAATCGCGTATTTTCCCTAATGTTTATGTTGATTTACTTCGTTAACGAACTAATCCTGATAGTTTCTCATATGTTCTAGTGGCACTTAGTTTGGATAATCAAATCGGTGTCACTTGTTCATAGTTAACTATTTATGCTTAAAATTTGGGCCGAATTTAGAGATTCTCGAGTGTTACCGGCGATTATCAAAATTTTATGGAACGTTTTATGTCTCGTGATACTTAAGAAAGTAAGCAGAGGCTGTTTGGTATATTTTTTGGGCAATGTGGCTGTTGCATTTGGGGTCATGTAATTAGTCACCAAATTTAATTATTCCCTAATTTCTGTTTCTGAGTTCTCGTGCTTGGTGTCATTTTTAAGAATTCCAGTCGTTTAATAATCTTTTTGCAAATGTTTTAATAATAGCTTTTTGCTTATCAGTCAAAGAAGCGCGGCTGCAGGGATTTAGCAGTTCTGTCGCTGTACTTGTGGCACTGGACGTCAATGGGGCGAAATCTTTTACGCGAACGCTAACGGGCTGCAACCCCATATGGAACGAGGAGTTTTCGTAGTATGACTTTATTTCCTCTATAATTTTTTTTGAACTAAAGAATGCTTTTTTTGAAACACCTCTATTTTGGATAGTGGCAGCGTTCGCGAACGTAACTAAATTAATTGAAGTATGACACTCATAAAAGCTAGGTAGCTATGGTAATAACCTTTAAAATGCGGGGAACGAGTTTCATTTTGTGAATTTTAAGCAAAGGTTCCTATGTGAACCACCGTCTACTTTATTTGCGCTTGCTCCTACAGTAGTGGTTCTACTTCGTGACACATTTATGCGTATTGCTATAAGGATGCACAAATTAAATATTTGTGCATAATAAATAGTCGTCGAGGACATCACCTTTGCTCTAACTGGAAGTGTAAACCAGAGCGTATGATTAATGTTGGGACTTTGCAACAATAGTACTTTAGACTACTGAAATGCAGAAAATCGTTTACAATGGTGTGCATCTCCCCTTGAAAATATTTTTGTAAATTATGCCTATGCTTAATGATCTCCCTTCTAACTTCTCTGTAAATTTAACTTAGATCTAGGACCTGATTTATCTAGTGGGACTCCATAACGAAGTAAATACAACGGGGTAATAATCCAAAAAACCCGTTGAGACCTGGTTTTATCGGGCGTAAATTTTGAGGTCATTTGGAATGAACTTATCATGGATTGCCAGGTTATACTTTAACCATTTCTTCATAGTGAACTCGACAGTGTGGATGGGGGTGTACTTCTAGAGGTTCAGCTTAAGGGATTTCTTCGCCGCCAAACCATCGGAGCTTTCTACGTTCCTATTAAGAAGGTTCGACAGGGTGCTGCAGCGGTGAGTGGTGACTGTCGTGGAATTTCCCCCAAACTGCCTAATCTGATCCAATGTGTTAAGGTTAGTAAGCAGGATATGTGGTTATCCATTTTTACGTCAGGCCGAAGTACGTACGACTTCTAGTACCACTTATTCTTTCCACCCATCTTGAATATCCACTATGTTTTCTTTGCTTTTCTTCAAGTCTCGCCATCCCACCTGGGTAGCTTTGGGTGCAGAAGTGAAATTGAGGAATGGCAAAATTGTCGGAACTCAGGGACCAACAAAAAACTTCCTTTTTCTCGACGTCTGGCTGACATTCGACAAAGGTGCACTTCTTTAATTTCGGTCGTTTAACATGAAAGTTCTTGGAATCAAATAACTCCCAATTTTGACCAACATTTTCTCTACGTTATTATGACTGCCTATTTTCTGAGGAGGCGCATTCTTTCCTTCTAATCACAGATATCGGTGTATTGTGAAATTTCGGCCGAATAACAAATGTCTGCTTAGTGTTAATTTTTCACTCTTTTCCCGTGATTTGTCGCAGGCGTTCCAACTGCGTCTCGAATCCCAAACGCTAACAGGAACGGCGACATTGGACAAATTGATGGATATGCAGGATTTTATGTAAGAAAGTAATATTTGTTGAACTTGTTTAATTTTAGCTCGTGTTAATACGCAGCACTTAAATTAGGTTGACTTCTATGCATACCCATATGTAATGAGGCGGTATAGGTACAGTGGCTAATCAGGCCGCGGTAAAATCCTTCCAAAAATTAGTCAAGTCAAAACCGCACTGCAAATAATAATTACTTAAATTTAATTGTAGGTGGTTTTAATTAAGTTCTCTCTTAGTTTAAAAACTAAGCGTAGTATTCCAGAAAGTATGTTTGATTCGTGTATAGAAAATACAATTTTCCTAGCACCGCCAAACCTTGATCGGTTTTGGAGTGTAAGTAGCCAAAGCGCGGCTTCCTAAATTGGAAAGGGTAGTTAGAATAGATCTCTCGTTGCACAATTTTGACAGAGTAAGGGCAGAAAAGTGACCTCTAGATCGCCCAACAATGCACTTTTGTCTGTGCTACCTTTGGAATCTATCAACTAACTTAATTAGAAGTAAGGAACTAAAAATGGCTGACTTTCATTTTCACATGTCTTTATTCCACGTTTTTATCTCGGAAGTAAATGCTATCAAATCCGTACTGTTGTGAATTCTGGAAGTGTTTTATGGCGAAATACGTAGTGTTAAACTCGTTTAATTGCAAGGGATTCTTCAGGGGTTATTCCTCTATGTAGAAACATTTGCTATTTGTTTAGCTGCTTGCTGTTTTCTGGAAGGGTTAACACTAAGTCTTCAAGTTAGCATGTTCAATAAAATCGCCTTCTGTTATGATATTCATCATACTCATTCTCAACTTTGACTGCTACTTTAAATTTAATGTAATGTTTTAGCAACCATACCTTCTTTGCGTCACATCATTGACAATTGTTTGCTGCTCTTCACCGTGAAATTCTAATTTACACTCACATTCATCCGCCATCTCTCCGTATTAAGGATGTTGAGGTTAACGGAGCCAACAAAAAGGTGATTACTTGATCGAAACTGGCGTTCCATCCTCGCAGTTCTCCTAAGTTGCCTGACGTTCATTAATCTGTATTTAAGGCCCAACATATTTTCCGAAAGTGCTGGCTACGAATAACTGCCCAGTTAGAAAACTTTCCAACCAATGGAACTCTGTTTGAGAGACTAGCTTGACAGTGGTTTTTAAACTCCACTCGGGCGCTGTGTTTTGTTCATTTGTTTCCCCCCCCCCCCCACCCCCCACCTTTAGGCGCGTAACTGTTTCAACATGAAACGAAATTGCGAGATTTTTACTGTTTTCAGTCCCTTTCGCCTTCAATCAGAAATATTCTTATACTTTTTGTTTAGGCTGAAATCATGTAATGGGACAACTTTTTGCTTTTCTTAGCTCTCAGTAAAACAATAACAGTCTGGGTGACGGAAACTAATCACTACCGGCATTATTAATATCATAGCCGGATTTTTTGTTAAGTGAATTTCATATTAACTTCGCCCTTGCAAGGGAGTGATGCTAAAGGCTATTGATAACATGTGCCTGGATGGCACAGAACGCATTTGAAACCAAGACATCTCCGACAAATCAGATTCCTGGGCTTATCGGATGTTTGACTCTCAGTTGATATTGCTTGAAGAATTGAGTTTTTGAACATTTGCCAGGCAATTTGGGTTTCGTCAACCATTTTCAAAATTTGTTTTATCCTTTTTAAGGACTGCATAGACGTATACCTCACCGTGGTTTTATTCTACAAGAGGCTAATAGCCCAATCGACGACACTTGAAGGAGCAAGAAGCTGTTAACTTTCTTGGCGAATTTTCGATTTTCCTAGGAACACCTTTAATAGAAAATTAAATGATGAGGAGTATAAATGATTCTTTTCTGCAGCCGTTCGAAAACAATCCGCAAAAAGCCGGTAAAAAGATGCCTTTTAGTGCATTTGGCTATAGTTCTGCTTCTACTGATGCGACCACAAGTAATAAATAAATTAGAATATTTCTGCAAGTTATTTTTAAACTTAATATAATTTGATAGCGTCGAGTCGCATGGGAAAGGAGAGATGACAATAAGAATAAGGGGCTTTATTTATTAATCTAGTTTAAATCAAAAGCATAGCTTCGTGGTTTGAAATTACATCATGACAAACTCCTGCATTTGTTCCGGCTCAGTCCTTTGCCATTTTTAAGTGGGGATTTGACTGATCTCTTTTCAATGACCCATTAGCCCGGGCTCATATTATAATCACATTTTCTAAATTTGTGTTTTGAAAATAACCAGAGTAGTTGGAATTATACGCAACAAACTCTCGATGTTTTACACAAATCCCTTATTTGTCTATCAGTTGAAATGTGGTACATGGAGGCAGAAAGAAACCATTTGGATATTGCAGCTAATATCTATGAACAAAGTTCCCCGGCAAAAACCAAACTCTTGATCACAAATGAAGAACACAGAAGTTCTCAGAACAATACGATTAACAAGTTAGTCTTAACTAATCCATTCACTATAGTAGTTGATACAGACGGCTGTCAAAAACTGATGGCAAGTGCATGTTTTGTATGTCTGACGCCAATGGGGAACGTTTTAATTTGAATTTCTAGTTAATATGGAAAAGTCACAGAAGATATCGCTCAGAATTCAAGAATCGCACTTTTCTATTAAATTTTGAATTTTAAAATTTTGAATGCGTAGGAAATATTTAAAGAGGCGTTCATATGACGGTAGAAAAAAAACTAAGCTTCCTGGTCTGTTAAAAGTAAATTTGTAACATGAAATTTACTTGAAAAAAAGCTTCATGCGGGAAAAGGGGGTTTCGGACATCAACGCAACTTCTTGCTCACATCTGCCAAGTGCTCAAAGGTATCCATTTCCTTGTCATATAAGCGCTGCGTATCAATTACACAGTTGTACCGTATACTCAGTGCAGATTTGACCTCTGGTTTGAAGTCGAATTTTAAAATCTGACTCAAATTTTATCCTCGTATTTTTTTAGAACAATGACCCAATGTTACACTCACGAAGGGATCAAATACGTGAGTTGTAAATCATTTGTCTTTCTATTAGCTGTCCAGGATAAATAAATCCTCCTTATTCTTATACTTCTATTTGCCCTACAATAAATTTTTAATGTTACGGAAAAAAAAATATTTTTCCGCATCGGAATAACCTTTTTCAGTTCTGGCCGTTCATCTATTTGCGAGGGAGCAAGTTGTACCAGAATTCAAACGCAGTTTATTAACTCCAACAAACTTACAATAGGGTTTGCGTGTCCTAAGATTCTATAAATAGAACAAAAATGCTATTTTGTAGGGGTAAATTTGTTCAATTTTTAGTGTGTTAAAAGTAGTTTTGAAACGAAGCTTTCAGTAACAGAACCTTAACTACAGATTTGGTTACTGATACCATATTGGTGTAAGAACACAGTTTACAAAATGTTGATTATGAAATCTGCAAAAAGGTAACTAAATAAATCATTCTAAGCGTTTCCTTTCTTGCTGATAAATTATAATTAATCAGGTTGGAAGGCGATTTATGAAGAAATAAACATATAAAGGTGGTGGATAAGCTGGTGCTAGAATCATCATGATAATCTGTTATTTTTCAACAAGATGCAAGCTGACTGTAAATTCTGCTTTTATTAAACGTTTCGTCTCCAGAGTCCAAGACAAAAGTGTCTTAGCTACTGTAGTTCTGATCTCAGTTTTATTTGCCTACGCTGATTCACCATTAGAATTAAGTCATTCATTTGAACCATTTCGAGACAGCATAGTTTGCTAATGCACTCCCTATAAATGCTGTCAGTGTTTTGGAGAGCCTTCGCAACTTCGAAATCAAGTTCAATTCTGTTTTTAAAACAGGGAAACCCGAAATACATCCACCAGTTTTGACCAGTGTCTTATTGTAGGAGAGTTCTACCTGAGACGAGTATGGTGGGATCCCTACTAGTTGCCACAGCTAGCTGTAGGGCAAACTCCACCAGCTTTTTTGGCTACCTGATGCGATAAACCAAGTGCTTCGCAAGTTCTACCCATACTTCTTAAAACAAAACAAACCACTAGCTTAAATCCTGGATCGTGGTATATCTTAATGAAAAGCATTGTATGTCTAGTTATTTCCACTATTAAGTTCACATGGTGACTTGTTAAAGCTCAGTCTGGCACAGGCGAACTTTGCATATCTTTATTCGCCCCATTAATCGTTCCAATGACGTTTAAAGACAGGTGAAATTTATCGTGGCAATCTTTTTTGTTGCTTGATCAAAACCGAAGCATCTGGTTAAGAAAATGCCCTTGCACTTCTTTAGTTTAACTTCGTGTTAAGTATCATGGTAAGCGTTTTTGGAATCTCCGCCTTATCCAGGCAAGTTGGATAGCAACCAACCAATAAACGTATCGGTGACAATATTATCCGCATAAAAAAGGATGATTAGGGTTAGGTCTTCTTCACTGGAACCTCAAATGTTCTAGGGTAAGTTAAATGCACACACAGGCTTTTATAAGAAATATTCACTGAGGAAAGGTTAATTATTAATGCTTGTTTGAAGTGAGGTCGTCCCAGAACCACATTTGATTTCCCGTGTTCTGATAAAACCGAACTAGTTTTAAATTCACTCATCGGGTAAGGGAATTGATATATGTTTAGCCCTTCTCCCCCAGGCCAGTAAGCATGGAATGATCAATCTCTGACGAGTCGTCTCAACTATTCTTATTTTTTTGACGTAAACGGTCATAGCATCCTTCTTTAAAAGAATATTTTGGTCTGCAATAATCTTATAGGTACAATTTTCTCCAAATTTTAAGTAAAAAGCTGTCCTTATTTTCCTAGAAATAAGTAACGTCGTGAGACCAGTTGGATGTAGGCGTCTTATGAGGTAAACTAATAATTTTTTGATGGACAGTTGGCAGTTAATAAAAAACAAATGCATTATTCGTTAGTGTAAGAAAGTTAGTTTCTACTACTGAAAATAAGCGATTCCAGTTATCGGACCTGGGATTAAGAGCATCAACGATGAGCTGTGGTGAAAAAAGTCGTTACTGTGCTTATACATATATCAAAAACTACACGACTTGACAATGAAGTCCATTAAAACCTCAAAAAAATATATGAAAAAAAAACGCTCTCCGCGTTGATATTGTCTCTAAGCCGTCTTTGATATCAATGCAAACAAAGGGAACTTTTGTCGGTAGTTCAGACATCTGTTCTTTGGTCAGTGGCTATATCTCCTGTTTATTAAATAATAGTGATACAAAACACAATCCAAACCCTGTTTTTCCCATCCGTTGCCTGTATATCGTCGTCAAAAGTAGTGACCATGAGGCAGTTGCAGTATGCTACTTTATTTGATCCACTGCCTCTATTCTTCGCACCAAAAGCAGGTTCGGGTGAACGTCGAGACAGAAGAAGCCGTCGAGTACGTCACAATCGCCTTCAAAATGGTGACACAACCGGAGTAAATCGCTCCAGTAAATCATGCTGGAACCCTCAGATAGGTTCTCGATACCTATGGACTTCTCCAATGGATAATTATCAGCCGGATGGAGGAGTGGTTGATTGTGAGCCCTTTGTCTACTACCGCGATCCCGATTGTCCCGAATGCGTAGGGGCTTCCAGCACATATCCCGGTGGAACCAGATTCCAACATGACATCCCACAAGCATCGTCTTCCAGTAGGCGGCAGCGTAAGCTACTACCGACTTTTTCTGTACCTTTAAAAGTTGGTGTTTTGAACTGGGAACAATTTAAACATGTTTGGAGCGGTATTTTTTGATGGGAAATTGAGCAGACATGGACTGATGGTAGGTAACAGCGTAAGCTACATAATGTGGAAGCTTTGTTCAATTGAACTGTAAAGCTTCATTAACTGCTTTTCTGAAAGAGATGAGATTGAGTGATTGCCTAAAAATATAACCAGTAAAAGATTTAGGAAACGAGGACAGAATAGTTTCACCATCTTCCCATTTCTTGGATGGGAGGTTCACAAATATTATCCTCCAATGATTGATGGTACCGGCGCTTTTCGGCTGTTGTAGATCAGATAAGAATAGCAGTGAAGTTCGGGAAGTTGTGAGAATGCAGGTGATTTGTCAGCATTTGGTAATTGACAAAGCCAAGAATATTTGGCAACTTTTGCGGTCTAGTTCGAATTATTTTTTAGTGTTTTATAATCACTTAAGTGGCATAAGATGGAAGGAGTAAAAAATAAGGAGCATTTTGAAGCATGCTCCACCCAGTTTGAGTATGATATGCTGAACTGATTGGGTTCCATTTTTACCTTTTGGCATTGATAGGTAATTGTAAACTACTGTTTGTTTTCCACTCGCGTTAACGTCAGGAGTTTTAACCGCCCCCAAATAGTTGCTGCTTGTAATGGAATATGGATCTTCCTTCTCAAAATTCTATTACCATCCAGCAGTTCTTGCCCAAACTTGACAAAAATGAATTTTTATTGAAATGGAGCACACGAAACTAAAATATTATATATTTGGTGGGGTTCTTATCGCCCTAAAGTGAGGAATTGAGGGTGTGCTAAAACACCTGCTTTTTAAAATGCAGTCGTCCTCACTTCACCTTTTTACTATGTTAAAATCCCTATTCACTTTTTCATTTGGGTCGATGTTAAACGGGGAGACTTTTCCCACCTTTCCCTTAATGAACTCGTGTTGAATGGCTGTGAGCAGCCTCAAGTTGGGACAAATTTTAGCCCCGCCTATGACCGTTAGCTGCGCTGCTTTTGCGTGATGTCTCATTAAGTGTCAACAGTTTTCTTCTGCTGCAACTGTGAAAATATTTGGATTCTTCTCACTTCCAAAAATACCAGCTTTACTGGCCCATGACTCAGTAGTCATAAGGTTTCAATTTTGTGTCTTAAAAGTGTTATCGTTTTTTTTTCGAATCTTGGGACACAATTTGTGACAAATAGTTTTTTGGATAAATTTGCTCAGTTTTAGCTGATTTATTTAACATTTTATATGAACAAATCTTGCGTTTGGGGACGTACTTTGTAGTTAGCATAATGCTTCTACTTTGCATGCGCATGAGCCGAAAATGTGGGAGTTGATTTGGAACTTCTTTAAAGTCATTTATTATTTTTTCTTAGATACTCTTCTTTCCATAGATTTATTTTACGCAACAATTCGCGGTTAATTAACAAGGATTTAATTGCGATATACGTATTGGTTGTTTCTCAGATTGGTATATTTTTCGCAAAATTTCTTCAACTTCGCTTTAAGCGTATAGTTTCTGGGCGCTAAAATTTTTCAAAATAACATTGATTGTTGTTATAAATCATCCTTGTTTTTACATCAAAGTTCCATTCTCCCGACTGAATGTTTACTAAAATAGTATTATTTTGAATTAACAGATGATAGCCGAGTTTTTTCGCTGCCGTAAAGATCAATTGACTCAGTTTCCCTAATTTTTCATCGATGGCAATAATTTTAAATTTGCATTCATTTTCCCTAAAAATACTTATTCTCAGCGGATTGAAGTCATTAGGGATGGTCTGGAATACGTGTCTAGCACATCTGTCCTAGAACTCTGTTTTTGGGGATACGACTACATTCCAACTCGACAACATTTGTTTAAGACCCGCGCAATAAGTTCTACTATGTAATATGTTTTATCATAAAGTTAGCAAAGTGCGTGCCAAAAAATCACATCACTTTTTTGGTGATTATTTTTAATCTCACCTTGTTAGTCTTTATCGTGAAGCTTGCCCTAAGGGTAAAGGACTCGATAATTATTTTTTCACAGATGAATTTAAATCCAATTAAGCTGAAAGTGTGTAATTTTGGGGTGGATCTCCATTCAATTTTCGTTATATTATTTGTATATCAAGCATGGGGTGCTCCAGACAAAAAATACTATTTATATTTTATTACCCCGCTAGAAATATCAAACAGTTTTGATAGCAGCCACGCTCAACGGACTCTTGAACCGCCACTATGGTGCACTGTCACGAAATGCGGGCAAGACACAAATCGTTGCGTGAGCTCTGGACCCCTCTGTCTCACTCACTCCTTTTCAATCCCTAAAGTTCACTCCTCTTTCTCATACCTCACACTTTCTGACTCTTCAAACCGTTGTTTTCTGTCGTGAAAGCATAATTCTGAACCAACTTGACCAGGTAAATTGTTCAGTAATTCACCTTGCATTTTGGATCAAAAGTGCATGAACCGGTGTTGGACTGTGCTGAGCCCTCAAAAGTGGTTAATAACAAATTGCTTATTGGGAACACTACCTCCTAAACTTTGGTAAAGTACTTTAATGCACCTCCAATTGGTGCGTTGATTGCGTGCGCCCAACACTTAGTGAATTTCTCACAGACCTTTCGGGCCACAGCTGCAATTTCCGACTTTGGATTACAATAGGCTCAAAAAGTGATATACCCCACACCAAATAACTTCATTCATTCTTCTTCGGATTACCAAACTTTTATTATTCATTATTTTGTTTTTTTTTTAAATTTTGGTAAGTTTTATAAGTTTTGCCGAAACCCTCCAAATTTCGGTAGGCCAAAACTGTTAGATTTCTCTAAGCCCATGATGATGATTATTGTGGGATGTTCTGAAGAAGAAACTGTAAAATTTGATATCCAAATGCCTATAGGATTTTAGAAGTTAACGAAACGGCGAATTTTACTTTTGTTGCAAAAACAACCTCCCAAAGCTTCATCAATATCTTTTACTTCATATAATTAATCTATTGCATTACAGTCAAGCAATGCTCTTGAATCTGCATGTATCCACCCTAAAACTACTTAGCCATGGAGGATAGATTATTATCACTTATTTTTAACTCTTAAAGACTCGTTTTAATCTGTTTTTGAGCCACACGTGAACATTGTCAATGTTAGCATCGCTGGTAGGAATCTTTAACATAATCTTATCACTTATGTTTCACACTTGTTTGGCCTGCTTTAGTTGGCGCCTGCGCATGGTTATGCGAAGGGTTCTTCCAACATTTAAGACCTCTTATTTTTGTATCTGAATATCGTGTATTCCTTTGAAAAACCGAACTCTGTGCTGAATTTCTAGTTAAAAATGCTTATTTCTTTTAATGTTGCTGAAAATGTCTATCTAGGGCACAAAGTGACAGTCTGCGAGTGTGCACACCCTGTCAAACCGGTCTGTACAACAGGCCTTATTCTTGTTCGGCGATCCATTACTAATTACTCTCTGAGGGGGTGTATGCAGTATTCGATTGCTAGTGCAAGGCGGCGCCTTTGTAGACTTCAAATCTAGGGCATCGCATCAGGGAAGGGGATTAATGTAGCCTCCGTTGTCTTATGCCGAATCAAATAATACTGTAATATTAGAATTTCGTTTTTTTTCAATGTGTTATCCCTTGTTCGGTATCCCATTTTTTAGGGGACGTCGAATGATTGAAAAGTGGAATGCAATGAAAAACATACGGTGATAAATGTGCATAATGGTGTAGTTGAAGAGGCTGAGTTGATTTGAAAATTTTATTCCCTTTTGATATGTGAGACTTTTTAAGCATTTCCAGCTTAAGCGGCCGAGTTGAAACATGATTCCTTTAAACCCTTGATGTCAAAAGGCGAATGGATCATTGAGGATGAGCATTTAAAATTGCCCCCTTTCAGCTTTGATCCCATTGGTCTATCAAATTTACTGTATTTTCCTTTCTATTTGCAAATACCATTTTCTTCAGGATGAAATAGGCAAGTTTGAATGGTTAGGAAAGAAGAGAGGGTACTTTGATCCGAAATCACATCAAATCAGATTGCGGATGTTTTTTTTGCTTTTGCGTTCTGTTGATCATTCTGGTTTCAAGGTCCAATTCTGGCTTGGTATTTTCATCGCTTAAAAATCATGGCTCTCTTATTTGTTTATTTACTTTCGTACTCTCTGCTGTTTAAAATATTTTATCTGTAACTTTGAAATTAATTTAGAATTTTACTGATAAAATCAGAAATAAGCCTGAGGAACATGATCATTTTCCGCATAAAATCCAAAGATTTCATACCATTTATGTTAATTTCATTAAAGGTATTGGGATCTCGTGAGTGGGTTTCTACAAGCTGCGCATAAACGGTTATTTATTAAAAAACGGGCTGTTAAATAATCGGGGATCGCCACTTACTTATTACACCATCGTACTGGTACCCTATTGAATTCGACGTTTCCGGTCACTAAACACACCCTTTTATCATCTGTTAACACTAAAAAACCACCAAACCGAATCAAACATCAGTATCTTGGCTTAAATAATGTGTTTAATTGAGTTATATAACCAATAATGTTTCTTTTCTCTTCGCCATATTTCTCCATCAAGAATGTACACATGCACGATGAGCGCATTACGCTGTAGAAATGGTAGTTTACTAGGCTTAAAAATGATCCTTAAAGGATTAACTTTAAGGGTACAGCAACAACAGCTGGTGAAAACTCAACTCGCAGAAAAGTGGCTTTCAAATCTTCTCTTTAGTTCCACTGAGGTGGCAGAGGGAGAGCCCACTCAATTATTTGGGCGGTTCCTATCAGGGTCTTCGTCCACCTCAAAACGCGTCTACGCTGCACTCTCGAATGTTCTCCGATCCGGATGTCTTCTACCAGGACGGTCCGTTGGATGCCCTCTGCTGTTGGCAGGAGCGTCGTCAACCTGTTGTTGATGAATATGAGCAATGCTCGGGACCAGCTTATGATGAGGAGTACGAAGGGGACTGGCAACAATCGAGTTCTTTTGAACAACGGGATCGAAAACCCCGCCGTCTACCCTCCAGCTATCTTCAACCACCTTTGGGTGATTATGGATGCTGGTAGGTGAAGGTTCTTTCCTACTCCTTAATGCATAAGTTTATTTTTAATACATTTCAGTGCATGAGCCTTGCTATAAGCGTGAAAGGAAGCATAGGTTGCGTGGACAGACCTTGGTACTACTTTTAAGTCATTTTTAAGGTCATATTCACGGTGAGGTTTCCGTCATTTCAATCATTCGCGTAATTTTCTGAGAGCTTATAGGGACACTCATTCTCTTAAAAATTTTACCGGCAGAATTTCCTGAAATCTACTCAAACAAATCAAAACTTTGCTTATTTTCTTCAGAGCATCATTTTTTAAGGTTAATTCATTGGTGAATTTCAAATTGGCAATGAATTGGAATGAAAGTAGGGAATACTTCCATATTTCACTCACCGTTTGGTTTAACGTTGGCATTTAAAAGGGTTTATACTGCATTACGATTGTTCATCGCGCATCTTTTCATCTTTCTCAATCGCAAGTAGGTGTTCTAAATTTCTTAGTATTTTAAATAAAGCGTGTATTTTGCCGTTTCCCCTAAGATTAAAAAGGTTTACGTGATTTCCAACTAGAATACCTGAATTATGTTTTTGAAATGCCGATGAAGGATGATGATTTGCTACTAAGAACATTTGGCTGCAATCAAAATACAATAGAATTCTCTTCCATTCTGATCACAGATACAACAAATTGCGATTGTTTGATTATTTTCAGAAATAAATTAAAGTGTTTGAGCATTTGAAGTTGAAAGCAATTTTCACATTTTAATGTTATTGCCTCAAAGTAAAGTATTTATTCGTTTTTCGTAAAATGTGCGGTATCTATACTTGGTTCTCTCACCACTTTCACCATCCGCAAATCAAGATTTTGGAATTTCGCAATTGCTTTTATTCTAGATGCCACTCATCCCTGTTTTGTATCTCAACTCGGAATATCCCACCGTCTATGCTACTAAGTTTGGTAGCTCTCTGTTACCTTGGATTTTTTTGCAGTACAAACCCTTTTGTACAAGGGTCGGCTCTTATTACTAGTAAAAGGGCTTTGTGGAGTTAACTTGACACTGGTACGGTCTGTCCTGCATAAACCATCTGCTTTCTGTCACACCAACCGGAAGCATTAAGCTGAGCCATCCTATCTGACCAAGGCTGCCCGGTTGTTTAATTATTTTACTCAAAAATATATTTCCCAAATCAAGCTTTAGAAAAGAGTTGCTATGGATTAGATAATTAAAACTATCTTCCTTTCCCATATTTTAGGTCTGACACGGGTATGCCGCCTGCCACGAGAACAATAGACACGACTCGAAGATGGTCTAGGTGAGCGAATGACGGGGTTTGACGAGACCAAGTGTTGAGGACTTTCGATGTAGAAGTGATCTATAAAAAAGGGATATTTGGTGAAACAGCATAAATCATAAATGAGTGATTTTTTCTTACTCTCTTTGCAACTCTGATGTAATGATAGATGCGCAGACACGAATCAAATCCACTGAACAGATGGTCTATTCATATAGCAAAGGTCCTTTGATCTCCAAATGTCCCGGTAGCACTTTTTCATATGTCTGAGTTCTCAAGCGCAGTTTTTTTCTCCGCTTTTATGCCTGAACAGAAATGAAAGCTGTATTAGGTTACATGCAGTGGAAACTCTTTTTTGGTACTTATTTGTTCATTTATTAAGTTTTAACCTTCAAGCTAGTTTTGGGATATTTTCAAGCTCCAAACAGTAGATACTGATAGCCAAAAATTCATCAGTTCCTCATCAATATCAGCAGGCTCATTTAAAGGAGCTTCGTCAAACGCATTTTGTTCCTCTAGGACGCCCAATGATTGTCTCAAGTGGGAAAAAGTGCTACCGAACGCTTTTTGCTAAACTGTCAATGCAGCTTGCCATACCTTAAAATCCTGACAGAAGAGTACTGCACACATTTCCTCTACATTTTAACTACATGCTTGCTTACTCTTTGGGTAATGTGTTTTAGTGCAGCAACCAAATTTCACAAAGTTCTTGAGGGATCCGAAAAATTCCTACAAGTAAAACAATGATGAAAAACCTGGCAGGAGAGGGGCCCATAGTTCTTTTCGCACTGATGTCTTTCACAGCTGTAAAACTTTCATCATATTGCACAAATAAGGCATATTTTGTTGCTGACAATATCTACTAGTGGTAAACCGAACTCGCCCTCTTATCATCTCAATCGTATTCCTGGTTTGCTTCAGTAAAACCTAAACATCTACCATATAAGTGATTCGATGGTACTTTACTAGTAGGGGACTGTTGTATCATTGCAGCTGGGACAGACATGGTTGTCCAGCAGAGCACTTGTACGATAACCTGAACTACTTCAATGGCAACCGCTACTTCACAGACGATCAGTCGACAGATGAGTGGCCGCTGGACAGTTCATGCACGCTTCAAGGCCTCTCCGGCCCCTTCTACCCATCCCAACAACCCTATCCCCTGATCGCGGAATATCATTCGTCTGACTCGGATACCACTTGGTTCCCACCCGGACGCCCCTTTGCTATGCCCAGTCAAAGGCTGTTCAGCGACGACATGTGAGTTGGGTCCACCTTTATGAGATCCTCTGACCGTTTAAACTAAATTGAAAAGGGAATTTTATTTTCTAGTAGAAACAACTACTTTTAACTGGTTTTTGGTCTAGTGGATTATGGGCATTTTCACTCTACTGATCTTAAAGTTTTATATATGATTATCAAACCCATGAATCCATTATACCATCACAATTGCGTTATTCTAGTGTCAGTACAAGCAACTCAACTTCCAGAAGTAAAGTGTTTATTTGGTTTGTTTGAGCCGCTCTGATCTTCTGGAATAGCTATCATATCAATTTGATAATCACCAATTCACTTGTGGTTTAAAATGTATCTCTAGCATTTACTAGTTTCCAATTCAATTTGGTAGCAGTCTCGTCTGAAAAATTGAAAATACCAAAAGCGAACTATCTGCTTTAACTATTAGACAACCTTGATACATTAGTTAAACTCAGGCCAAGCAAAACAGTACATTCAATTTTAGTTATCGAGG